GAAAAAGCCTTCACCGAAAAAGTTCATCATCCAAATCTTGTCTTAATCCTTCCTTTACAATGGGCTGAAGATCTTGATAAAAGGAGGGGAGATTTCTGTTGTTTTCCTTTAAATTTTCCTTTGTTGATTTTTATTTTTGCACTTCTTTTTATCAATGAGATTTATAAAAACTGGAGAAAAGGAATGTATTCACAGAGTACAAAGCCCTAGTGACCAATGGGATTACTTGGTTAGTTTTCCTCTTGAATAAAGGATGAAAGGTCATTGGTAAGTAAGGACAAGAACATTATGAAGAACCTTCTTTCCTTCAGTTTTTAAAAAAACAGGCCAACATCAAATGTCATCCTACCCACTTGTCATTTCAATGTTGTATGCCCTAGAGAACATTTTAAATCTTTTGCATTTAAAGAAAATAAAAACAATGTTTTTCTTATACACTAACTTGTGCACTATAATTTGTGCTCATTCACACCAGAAGGCAGTGCGGAAAACGAGCACTGTGTTCAAAATGCACTGTAGTGGGTGTCAATTCTAAGTTAATGACACCCCAATGCAAGTCGCAAATGCAATTCCTTGCCTGCACTGGATCGCATGTTACAGAAGTACCATGTGATCCAAATGCAGTGCGTTTTTTTTTTTTTTTAAAGTAGTGCATGTACTATTTTGGTGCGGTGCGCTTCAGCCCATTCAAAATGAATGGGTTCAAATTGCACCCACACTGCATTGCATGTGAATCGCACAGGAATGCGCAGCACGTTCCTGTACGATTCCTGGTGTGAAGGGACCCTTTAACATTGCTGGGGGGGGGGGGTGCAGATGGTGGCCAGTGGGAGTAGAAAATTATATCAGTGGTGAGGAATGCTACCTCATTGATGGTGTCCGTAGGAAGATTAATTACTATTCATTGGTGTCAGTGGAAGAAATAGTGCCCCATCATTGGTATTAAGTGGGACAAATCCTGCCTCATCAGAGGTGTCAGTGTGAGAAATCATGCCCCATCATTGGTGTCAGCGGGAGGAATAGTGCCCCATCATTGGTATCAGTGGGAGGAATAGTGCCCCATCATTGGTGTCAGTGGGAGGAATAGTGCCCCATCATTGGTGTCAGTGGGAGGAATAGTGCCCCATCATTGGTATCAGTGGGAGGAATAGTGCCCCATCATTGGTGTCAGTGGGAAGGAATAGTGCCCCATCATTGGTGTCAGTGGGAGGAATAGTGCCCCATCATTGGTATTAGTGGGAGGAATAGTGCCTCATCATTGGTATCAGTGGGAGGAATAGTGCCCCATCATTGGTGTCAGTGGGAGGAATAGTGCCCCATCATTGGTGTCCCCATCATTTGTATCAGTGGGAGGAATTGTGCCCCATCTTTGGTGTTATTCAGAGGGAATAGTGCCTCCATTGCTGAAATTCACTAGTATAAGCAATCATAATGTGTAAAAAAAAAAAAAAACAAATATGGATCATTTTCTCAGAGTAGTACAAAGTTACTATGGTAACATTATATTGCTCACAGGCTTAAAAAAAAAAAAAGTAGTAAAAATTAAAAAAATGTAAAACAAAAAAAATATTATTATTATTATTATTATTATTATATTATTATTATTAAAAACAAATTGCCTATCAGGCACTTGTACCCCCTTCCTGTCCAGGCCAATTTTCAGCTTTCGGCGCTGTTGCAATTTGAATGACAATTGCGCAGTCATGCACCATTGTACTCATATGAAATGTTTATAGTTTTTCTCACACAAATAAAGCTTTCTTTTGGTGGTATTTAATTGCTGCTGGGTGTTTTATTTTTTGCACTATAAACAAAAAAAAAGAGCAAAAAATATGTAAAAAAAGTTTTTTCATTTTTCTTCTTCACTGATGTGTGTTGATGAGGCTGCACTGATAGGCTGCACTGATGGGCACTGATAGGCAGCACTGATGGGCACTGGTAGGCAGCACTGATGAGGTGGCACGGATAGGCAGCACTGATAGGCAGAACTGATGAGGTGGCACTGATGATGCTGCACTGATATGCAACAATGATGGGCACTGATAGGCGGCACTGATATGCAGCAATGATGGGCACTGATATGCAGCAATGATGGCCAATGATGGCACACTGCTGGGCACTGATGGGTGGCATTGCTGGACACTGGTGGATGGCACTGCTGAGCACAGATGTGTGTCACTACTAGGCACTGTTGGGCACAGGTGGGTGGCACTGCTGGGCACTTGTGAGCAGCACTACTGGGTGGCACTGCTGGGCACTGATCATCAGGGCACTGATGATCAGTGCCCTGATGATCAGTGCTGATCCCTCCTCTGACAATTGCTGTGACAGCTGACAATTGCTGTGACAGCGTAAGGAAAGTGCAGCCGATAATCAGCAACTTCATTTAGCTGATCACGTCGTGGTAAAAGGCCACTGCGATTGGCCTTTTACCACATCACGTGATCGGCTGTGTCCGGGGGTGCGCAGGAGGGCGCATTCTGGAGGACGTCATATGATGCCCTCCTAGAACTGGACAACCGCGCTCTAGCCATCATTCGGCTATAGTGCGGTTGGCAAGTGGTTAATACTGTCACCATTCAGTTTCCCTGATCACCACCACACCGGTTTTATGATGATGCTGTACTGCACTGGTGACAATGCAATACAGTGACATTTTTTTGTTTTAATTTCTTCATTTTCCACAAATGTATGACAAAAAAATGACAACTTCAAAAAACTCGCCATACCTCTTACTAAATACCTCAGACTGTCTACTTTCCGAAAATGGGTCATTTAGGGGATATCTGTGCTGTCCTGGTGTACTGATATTATTTTCTACTCCCACTGGCCACCGTCTGGCCCCCTTAAAGTCTAAAAGGCAGTAAACTGGCCCTCAAGAAATGAGATAGTTGTGGGAAAAAATGCCTAAAATTTCATATGGGTACAGTGTTGCATGACCGCACAATTGTCATTCAAAGTGAATGCAGAAAGGTGAAAATTGGCCTGGGCAGGAAAGAGGGTGAAAGTGCCTGGTATTGAGATCTTTAAAATAGAAATGAAAGGTAAAAAATTTGTGTATAGATATAAAAAAAAATTTAAATTACTTTTTCCCCTTTTTTATAAGTAATCACATTCCTTCTGTTTTCAGCTGCAAAGGGAGGAGAAAACAGCAGTACCCTGGTCTTCCCAGTGAATAGCTGTGCAGGGGGGGGAGGGGAGTGTCAGGACAAGTCTGATCATTGGAGGAGGGCAGGCTGAGTTCCCAGCACAGCTAGAGAACTCACCACACGGTGTTCTCATGCCTAGTGTGGTCAGTTTTTTTTAGGAAAGCAGAGGGATTGGCAGGAACACCAGGGATTTCACACAAAAGAAGCAATACAAAGAGAAAAGGATACTTTTAATACAAGTGCATGGCAGCAGAGTTTCCAATTCTTGAAACTGAGAGCGGGTTTCCAATTCTTGAAACTTTACTAAAAAACTCCCTATACAGATAAGGGACATCCAGGGGCGGACTGACCATTTGGAAACTCGGGCACTGCCCGAGGGCCCGGGGTCAGTAGGGGGCCCCATGAGATGCCCCTGGTACCTTTTTCATAGGCTTTTTTTAGTTTGGGCAAGGACACAGGGGCCCCATGATCCCCTATTGCCCGGGGCCCCATGAGTTGTCAGTCCGCCCCTGGTCATGTGTCAGGACAGGTAGGAACAGACCATATCCCCAGCTGAGGAAATAAAAAGACGAGGTCCATCTACAAGGATGTGATGCTGTATGTGCATTGTGGCTTCTGGCCTGGACATGTAATGTCACCCAAATTAACTGTTGAATGCGAAATGAGATAGGTTATACTACTCCCAAGATGCCTCTAAATGGGCAAATTCCTGGGGTCTCCCCCTTACACGCATAATCCAATAGTCTCATAATGACCCTTTTTCAGTTGACCTTGTTTCCCAAACAATGCTTTTCTCCACTACGTCCCCAAAGAATGGTCACTCTGTGCTGTCAAGGATTAACCCCTGGGCACCTTTGGTTTAATATGTCTAATTTAAAATATCACTTAACGCATGCAGCAGTTTACCTTAAAAAGCCGCCCCTGGGGACATCTGTAGTTGAAAATAAGCTGTGCAGCTTTGACCACAATTCAATAATGCCCTTGTGACATTTTTGGTCATTTTTAATTTATATAATAAAAAAATAAAAACCTAGTGATGATCAAATACCACCAAAAGAAAGCTCTATTTGTATGGAACAAAATGATATAAATTTCATTTGTGTACAGTGTTGCATGACTGCGCAATTGCCAGTTAAAGTAGCATAGTGCTGAACAGCAAAAAATGGCCTGGTCATGAGGGGGGTAAAACCTGCCAGAGCTCAAGTGGTTAAATAACATTCTTAATGAATTTAGAAAAAATATTTCTTCTAGGTGGACCACATTAGAGTTAAGGATCTAAAACAACCATAGCAAACCATGCATTGGAGTGTGCAGCCTATTGCATTAGGGTGTGCAAGGACCCCCCTTGGATGAGAGGCGGGAGCACCTGAAACAGCTGAGGAAGATGGTAGGGGGAGGAGAGTTATCTCTATAATGTGCATGTCATCTAGGAATGTTGGCAACTAATAGGTGATTAGGGTGTGCCTAGGCACACCTAGCACACCCTGTGTGCATGCCTATGAAACCATGCAATTGCTATGGGGCCTAGTGCTCTCTGCCTACACACTGATTTATACAAGAACCAATAGCTCTGAAAAGTACATTTAAATGTATAACATACTTTGGGAATCACTAGAAAATTACTACGAAGATAAAAGATTCTGCATAATTAGAGGGATTGCTTCATGGATGAAAAGTAAAAAAGCTGGGGCCCCTAATGGTTTTGCTATTCCATCATAGTTACACCGCTGATTACAGTCCTCCTTATAATGCATACGTACTGTCCTCCTGTGTGAGGATGGCCTTTTCTTCAGACGATGGCCCTGTGCCGGCCCGGTTAGAAGCCTGCACTACCACACAGTAGCGAGTGTACTTCTTCAGGTTGTCCAGAGTGTAGACCTCACTGTCCCCTGTGGCATCCACAGTGATGATATTAAACTGGTAATTTCCCCCGGTACTGTACTCCCGATAGCCAATCTGATAGCCACGGATAATCCCATTCTGAGTGTCCTTTTTGGGGGCCTGTGCAAAAAAAATTAAAAGGATAAAAGAAAAAAAATGGGTCTTATAAAGTGGAACAGTTTGGATTGTTTAGATGTCATCATTATCAAGTCACACATTAAAGGCAAAGTGAGAGGTTCCCTTGAAAGAACAGCCCACTCTGTTAAACTCACCACCCCCCACCGTCCCCAACCACTCTGGAGTCGGCAATCGAAAACCTGTGTAAGCTCTGTGCCAGATAACGTTGGAGAGCAGAAAGGGTCAATGACTTCCTTCTCACCTTCACATGACAAGGTTCAAGCCCAATCATTGACTGCTCAGGCCCAACACTGAAACCTTGGAAGGAGGGCACATGCTGCCCCATACCCAAAAGGACTGGACATTACCCAACAGTAGAGATGTGTATGACAGAAATATTTGTTTTGTATTTGTTGGTTAAAGTGTTACTAAACCCACACCAGTGAAATCAGTCTGTATATGCAGTAAAGCATGCTTGTTATACTCACTGTGGAACCTAAGGGGTTAATCCTCTGCATTGTGTAAAAAGGCTGTGTGATCCTGATATCTCTGCTCCTCCCCTTATTCAAATGTACACAGCTTATCTCCTGATAAGACAGAGTGAACCGTAGCCATTCTGCACATGCTCAGTTTAGTGTGTATTGCTAGAGTTTTTTTTTTTTTCTTGGGAGAGTGCATGTGATCAGCACAGCGCCAATCAGCACTGTCCAGACAGAGGTCAGGGGTCATGCATCCTCTTAGAGCAGAAAGAAAAACTCCTACAAGGTTTGACCAGTGCTCTGCTGGACACTGATAGAAGACTGCTCTAACTGCTGATGAGAAAAGATATTTAGCAGTTTATATTTACTAATATAATTGCATTTCCATGTTGTGTGTACTGTGGGAGACCAGATATAGTTAATGCAGGGTCCGGGGAGAGCGGATATAGTGAATGCAGGGTCCGGGGAGACCAGATATAGTGGATGCAGGGTCCTGGGAGACCAGATATAGTGAATGCAGGGTCCGGCGAGACCAGATATAGTGAATGCAGGGTCCGGGGAGACCAGATATAGTGAATGCAGGGTCCGGGGAGACCAGATATAGTGAAGGCAGGGTCCGGGGAGACCAGATATAGTGAATGCAGGGTCTGGGGAGACCAGATATAGTGAATGCAAGGTCTGGGGAGACCAGATATAGTGAATGCAGGGTTCGGGGAGACTAGATACAGTGAATGCAGGGTCCGGGGAGACCAGATATAGTGAATGCAGGGTCCGGGGAGACCAGATATAGTGAATGCAGGGTCCGGGGAGACCAGATATAGTGAATGCAGGGTCCGGGGAGACCGGATATAGTGAATGCAGGGTCCTAGGAGACCAGATATAGTGAATGCAGGGTCCTGGGTTTAGTAACACTTTAATCATTTAATTTAGTCATATTTGTAATGTTAGATTGATTCATTTTCAGAAACTGTTTTATATATTCGGATTTGGTAGTTATTTTCAAATCGATCTGAAAAGATTCAGATTTTGGAAGACAGCTATATTTGTCCTATTCTAATCTATTCTATTTTATTCTATTCTAATCTAGTCTGTCCTGTTTTGTTCTGTTCTATTCTATTCTGTTTTCTATTCTAATCAACTCTATTCTGTTCTTTTCTATTCTAATGTATTCTGTTCTATTCTATTCCTTTAAATTCTATTCCGTTTTATTCTATTCTAATCTATTCTATGGTTTTATTCAATTCTAATCTATTCTATTGTTTTATTCTATTCTTATTCTGTTCCATTGTTTTATTCTATTCTATTGTTTTATTCTGTTCTGCCCTGTTCCCTTCAATTCTATTCTGTTCTATTGTTTTATTCTGTTCTATTCAGTGCTAATCTGTTCTATTCTATTGTTTTCTATTCTATTCTATTCTGTTTTATTCTATTCTTTTATTTTATATTCCATTCTTTTCTATTCTGTTAGTTAAATTCAAAATTCTTAAAAACACAGCAGCAAAAAGGCGTATGCGTATGTGATAAAGTGCTTTGTGAGCTAAAATGTGGTATTTTATATATAAAACTAAATAAATAAATTACTATAATAGTGGTGCATCAACACTGAAACACATACTCATAAAACTGTGCAAATTAAATATTAATAAAAATAAAAAATATGTGTCGAGCTCCACAGTGAATTTATGATGATATAAAATTAAATATTTAATATACCAATAAATTTTAAATATTAGTGATATAATGATATTATAATAAATATCATAAAGTACACATTAATGCCAAAATAAAACAATCTTATTTTTAAAGAAAAATGCCACACTAGTCGTATCGATAGTGCAAAGAATGCTAAAAAAAAGTGCTTTAAATAGTGTTTAAAAAGTGCTGAGAATCATATATAAATATTAAACTAATTATATGAAACCATCAAAAAAGTCCACTCTGTGCTTCCAAACTTGCTGTGCAAGGCATATGCGTTTTTGCCACTTTTTTGCAATGGAGCATGGTGAAAGCAGCCCAAGTAGGGATCATCATCCTATTTCACTTTTATACCTTACTGTATTTATTGCAATATATTTCCATTTTATATTCAAATTCATTTCCTAATTCAAATTCGGATAATTTGTTATTCCATTACGTTATTTTGTTTCGTTATAATTTATTTCGGATTCATTGAAATTCGCTACTATTGTGATTCGGAAATTTGGATACATCCGAATTTCTGAATACTGATAATGTCCCAAATTTCAATATGTAAAAACAACATTGCACATTTCGACCCAAAAGCGTCAACAGAGCAAGGGGGTGGGGGAGGGGGTGACCCCAAGTGATTATCAGTAGGTTAGGGTTGTTCTTTCAGGGAGACCTGATTGTAAACATGTGTATCTACTGTATATATATTTATACAAAGAATATGTTTCTATATATGTCCTTTTGTAATTCTCCTACATACTATCAAAATATTTCAGATCAAATAAATATTGTGTCTTCACATACCTTCCAGGTAACCCTGATACTCTGCGAGGAGATGGGATCAAGATGGACATCCTGAGGTTCACCGTCAGGAGCTAATAAAAGAAGAAGTGAAAAATGTTAAAGATAACACAAACCCCTGTCACACCCAGGGCTGGATTCATCATGATTACATAACTGGGCAGCCAGGTTAAAGGAAGCATCACCAACCCCCATCATTTACAGGGTGTGATCATTTAAGACTTAGACTTTGCAATAGTCAGTCAAATGTGTCCTCTCCCACCTTTTTGTATTTTTTTCTGTTGTTTTGTATTGAGTTGCATCAAATTATTATTGTTCTGAAGTATGCCAACATCTAGTGGCAGTTCAGGGTCATTACAACTTGTTTATTTATGTGATTAGGTGCCTCCCTCTGTCTTCTGCTCCTGTTTAGTGCTAGTTAATTCAGTCATAGCTAGACCCTCACTGTCTCTTCCATGTTACCCAAGTCAGTGTTAGTACTTCTATTGCAATTAGTGGAAGTACAATTGTGTTGGATCCCATTTTGGGTATTTTTGAAGGGCTAAGAGGCTTGTGAGTAAGCAGGTTGCTTACAGCCTTGATAGGTGCTGCCCCAAATGGGAGGGTTAGAGGTAATGTTATTTCCTGAGTTTTCTTTGGTGGGTTTTCTTGGATTCGACCCACTAATTCTGTACATATAAAAAGGGAGAGTGGACCAGATACAAGAGCCTGGGGAGCAGCAGTAGCCGTGGGGTATTCATATCGGAATTCCAGAGTTCCTGGCCCGTAAGCTGGATGTCACTACTGAGGTCGGGGTTTGAAGTCACTGACCGACTGTAGCCATCTATCATGTAGGGGGACTGCTAGTCCGCCCTAAAGACATTGTTTGCTGAACTCTGCCAAACATGGATATACCATGAATGGACCTATGCAGGTATGCCGGGGCAGCACACAAGTCTGAGATAGAGACTAGGGATGTAGGGAAAGAACTGTATTGTACCCTGAACTCTGTTGTGTTTTTTTAAGTAAAGCCTTTAAACTTTACTCTCTGCCTGGTCTAAAGTTATTAAAGAAGTGTAATGCAAGTAACTGGCACATTCTGCACTTAGCCTGCAGTTCAGGTCAGTTGAGACACACTGGGTAGCCATCTATCATGTAGCCGGGCTGCTGGTCTACCCTATAGACATTGTTTGCTGGATTCTGCCAAACATGGATATACCATGAACGGACCTATGCAGGTATGCCAGGGCAGCACACAAGTCTGAGATAGAGACTAGGGATGTAGAGAAAGAACTGTATTGTACCCTGAACTCTATTATGTTTTTTCAGTAAAGCCTTTACACTTAGCCATCTGCCTGGTCTACAGTTGTTAAAGAGGTGTATTGCAAGTAACTGGCACATTCTGCACTAAGCCTACAGTTCAGATCAGTTGAGACACACTGGGTTATGAAGACACAAGTTGTTACCAAGGGTAACAAAGGTTTCACTAGCAGCCTGTCACTAAGTGTGTACCTGTAACAGGTGGGACATTCTTTTGCAGAGAGGGATTGTTGTTGGCCTGTCTCCCCTGGGGTTGGTGTCAGTAGAAAGAATGGTGCCTCATCACTGGTGTCAGTGGGAGGAATCGTGCCTGTGAGCTCAGTTTGGCATTTTCTGATATAGACTATGGCAAGCACAGGAACTTCCATAATGTAGGAAGGAGACTGGTACTATATTTGATCTATATACTATATACTCTTTGATCAAATCCCATGCTCTGACCACTAGAAGGCACCAAACCCTGTTAGCAAAGAATGTATACAGACTAATACACCACGTAGGTCTCTCCACACTTGCTTGTTTCCTGCAGTAAGACACACATTCTTCTGAATAAAAATACTTTTTTTTTACAGAAATCCCAATTATTTCTATGTGGCTAGTTCACATATATGTACTGCAGCCTAGTGTATATTTAAAAAAAATAGGACATGCTGCATCTTTGTGCAGTTATGTGTGTTAAGTAGGACTAATAAAATATATGTTAAAAAAACGAGTGTTAAGTAGATTTGTGTGTTTTACATGCAATTTGTATGTTTTAAGTAAAATAAAACAAAATAATTGTGTGTGTTTTAAATGTTCCATGGGAACTCCCTCTTTTGGGTGTTTCTGCCCACTTTACATAATACATGAGCATGAAGCCTTGTTCAGACTGACACCATCACTGATCCAATATGCCTCATTTGTCATCTGATGCAGGCCATAGATGGGTCGAAAATTATTTTTCGGCCGAAAATAAAATCGGCCAATTTTCGGATCGTTAGTGGGCTAATTGTTCGGCCGTTTTTCGGTATTTTGGCAGATTTTTTTTATCGGTAAAGTTGAAAAAAAATCGGCTGATTTTGCCAATCGGCCGATTTTGGCGGCAATGATGGGCAAATCGGCCGATCTTTTTACCAATAAAAAAATCTGCGCATGAGCTGTGACCTGCAAGAGGAAGACAAAAAGAAGAAGAAAAAAGAAGAAGAGGATTAAGAAGAAGTAGAAGAGGATGAAGAAGAACAAGAAGAGGATGAAGAAGAAGAGGAAGAAGAAGAGGAAGAAGAAGAAGAGGAAGCAGAAAAAGAGGAGGAAGAAGAAGAAGAAGATGAAGAAGAGGAAGAAGAAGAAGAGGAGGAAGAAGAAGAAGAAGAGGATGAAGAAGAGGATGAAGTAGAAGAAGAGGATGAAGAAGAGGATGAAAAAGAGGAAGAAGAAGAAGAGGATGAAGAAGAAGAGGAATTCCAGTCTGGCAAAAAATGTCCCTGCAGAGAGCTCCGCTATTTCTTTGACAGTTCCTTGAAGAAGAAGAACAAGAAGAGGATGAAGAAGAAGAACAACAAGAAGAGGATGAAGAAGAAGAGGAAGAGGAAGAAGAAGAATAGGAAGAAGAAGAGGATGAAGAAGAAGAAGAGGATGAAGAAGAGGAGGATGAAGACGAGAAGAAGAAGAATGAAGAAGAAGAAGAAAAAAGAAGAGGATGAAGAAGAAGAAAAAAAGAAGAGGATGAAGAAGAAGAAGAAAAAGAAGAATGAAGAAGAGAAAAAGAAGAGGATGAAGAAGAAGAAGAAGAGAGATGATGAAGAAGAAGAGGATGAAGAAGAAGAGAAGAAGAAGAGGATGAAGAAGAGGAAGAGGATGAGGAAGAGGATGAAGAAAAGGTAGAAGAGAGAGGATGAAGAAGAGGAAGAAAAAGAAGAGGATGAAGAAGAAGAGGAATTCCAGTCCGGCAAAAAATGTCCCTGCAGAGAGCTCCGCTATTTCTTTGACAGTTTCTTGACATTTATTGCGGTTGCAACAATGTATGTATCTATTTGTTTCTGAATAAAAACATCTGTATCCTAAATGGATACAAATACATTGTTGCAACCGCTATAAATGTCAAGAAACTGTCAAAGAAATAGCGGAGCTCTCTGCAGGGACACTTTTTGCAGGCTGTAGACGGGATGAAAATCGGCCGATTTTTTTTACCGTTGCTGGTAACGTCGGCCGCTTGAACAACCGATTTTTAGTTTTTTTAAAGAAAAATCAGCCGATTTTCTACCCATCTATGGCCTGCATGAGTGTTACAGTACTTGCCTAAAAGCAATCCGTAATATCAGTTGAGTACAGATGGTGGCAGTGTTGTACACAGCACGGATAGACACCCAGCAGCTGGATAATATAGAATCAAATCTGAAGTTTGCTGGAAAGGAAATTGTCCTTTCACCCACTCATCACTTCTCTCATATCAAATTCTGACACTTATTTGTTTTGTTTTTGGTTGAGCTAGATATTAGTTAATAACGTTAGTATAGAGACAAAATATTGCATATTTTATGCTGATTTTACCATAAATGTACAGCTCTTTTAAAAGCAAATAGTTATTTGTGTGGGTGGGATATATTAGGCAGCAAGTGAACATGTTGTCCTTGAAGCCGATTTATTAAAAGCAGAAAAAAATGTAAGTGTAAGGATTTGAGCGACTTTTACAAGAGCCAAATTGTAATGGCTAGACGCACTAGACGACTGGGTCGGGGATTTGGGATGTTCCTCACCTGCAGTGGTCAGGACCGACCAAGAGTGGTCCAAGGAAGGAAAATCAGCAAACTGGCAACAGGGTCATGGGTTGCCAAAGCTCACTGATGCACGTGAGGAGTGAAGGCTGGTCTGTGTAGTTAGATCCAATAGAAGAGCTACTAAAGCTCAAATTGCTGAAAATGTTCATGCTGGTTCTGATAGAAAGGTGTCAGAACGTGCAGAGCATCGCAGTTTGTTGGGTATGGGGGTTGTGTAGCTGCAGGCCGGTCAGGGTGCCCATGCTCACACGTGTCCACAGCCGAAAGTGCACATGAGCTTCAGAACTAGACCACAGAACAATGGAAGAAGGTGGCCTGGTCTGATGAATCACATTTTCTTTACATCATGAAGATGGATGGGTGGGTGTGCGTCACTTTCCTAGGGAAGAGATAGCGCCAGGATGCAGTATGGGAAGAAGGCAAGATGGCGCAGGCAGTGTGATGCTTTGGGCAATGTCCTGCTGGGAAACCTTGGGTCCTGCCATTCATGTGGATGTTACTTGACATGTACCACCTACATAGACATTGTTGGTGACAAAGTACACTCCTTCATGGAAATGATATTGCCTGATGGCAGTGCCAAACACCACACCATACCTTCAGAGGTCTAGTGGAATCCAAGCCTCAATGGGTCAGGGCTGTTTTGGTGGCAAAAGAGGGATCCACTCAGTATTAGGTGGGTAGTCCTAACGTTATAAATACACACCTCTACAGGACCATCCAAAGATTTCTAGGAAGTCATGGCGTAACCCTGTAACCTAGAGCCCAGTGCCAGAACACTCATTCGGGCACTTAACTCTACAGCTGTATTATGCAGCTTGGCACTGGGTGGGGAAGATTGTCCCCTCCGAGCCTCTGCCTTGCTCAGGCTGTGCTCCATGCCCTGAAAGCCAAGCACCACTCATATGTTTCTCCCTAGCAACTGGAGGTGGTTTGGCATTGTTGATTGTGTAGCTGGCTCCTGCACAGACTGTGCCGCACTGTCCCCATGCTCATAAATTCAAAATCCGCTCATCAACTTTTCCCTGACAGCTGGAGGTGGTTGGTGAAGTTGATTGTGTGACCACCTTCAGCCTGGCCTCAGCTGCAAGCCCTGCAAAGAAAAGAGAGAGCACCCCTGCAAGCAGGGCCGGGACAAGTGGTGGGCAGAAGGGGCACGTGCCCTGGGCGCAGGGGTGCTATGTGGAGCGGGGGCACTGAGAGCCAATGAACGCTCTGCTCTCCAGCTACCTGAATGGTAAGATTGACACTGCCATCACTTCTGTTATTCAAAGCAGAGCACAGTACACGAAAATCCTCCCTCTGGCTGCAGGACTGAATGTCCTCCCCCTACCTCCTCCAGCAGTTTCAGGCACTCTGGTGCAGGACAACCCTGAGGAAGAACCTCCTCTTCGCTGGCTATTGCTGCTTGCTCTATGAGCCGAAAAGTGAAAAGTTAATCCCGTCCTCTCACATTGGTGGTCATAGCAGGGGTTAAATTTCAATGTCACTGACCACTAATGTGGGGGAAGGGGTTAATAATACTAACATCTGTTCTGGGAGTTATTATTGTGCCCACTGACACCCGTACTTGGGGTTAATATTGAGTCCACTGGCATCAATGCTGGGAGTAATTGTGAGCAGTGACACCCATGCTGGATGCTATTATGGCCTTCACTGACACCAATGCTGGGGGTTATTATGGCATCCACTGACACCAGTGCTGGGGTTTATTCTGGCATCCACTGACACCAGTGCTGGGGGTTATTGATGTATTCACTTACATCAATGCTGGGAGTTATTGTGTATATGGACAGCAATGCTGGGAGCTATTACGTGTAGTGACAATAATGCTGTGAGTTATCACTCCAGGGGCGGACTGACAACTCATGGGACCCCTGGGCAATAGGAGATCATGGGGCCCCTGTGTCCTTGCCCAAACTCAAAAAAGCCTATGAAAAAGGTACCAGGGGCCTCATTCCATACTCTGCGCTGTGCGTTCCCTATTCCCCATTCCATTCCATACTCTGCACTGTGCGTTCCCTATTCCACATCACCTCATTTCATACTCTGCACTGTGTGTTCCCTATTCCACATCGCCTCATTCCATACTCTGCGCTGTGCGCTCCCTATTCCCCATCCCCTCATTGCATACTCTGCACTGTGCGTTCCCTATTCCCCATCCCCTCATTCCATACTCTGTGCTGTGTATTTCCTATTCCACATCCCCTCATTCCATACTCTGCGCTGCGCGTTCCCTATTCCCCATCCCCTCATTACATACTCTGCGCTGTGTATTTCCTATTCCACATCCCCTCATTACATACTCTGCGCTGTGTGTTCCCTATTCCACATCACCTCATTCCAGGGGCGGACTGACAACTCATGGGGCCCCTGTGTCCTTGCCCAAACTCAAAAAAGCCTATGAAAAAGGTACCAGGGGCATCTCATGGGGCGCCCTACTGACCCTGGGCCCTCGGGCAGTGCCCGAGTTTCCAAATGGTCAGTCCACCCCTGCCTCATTCCATACTCTGCACTGTGCGTTCCCTATTCCCCATCCCCTCATTTCATACTCTGCGCTGTGTATTCCCTATTGCACATCGCCTCATTTCATACTCTGCACTGTGTGTTCCCTATTCCGCATTCCCTCATTCCATACACTGCACTGTACGTTCCCTATTCAAAATCCCCTCATTCCATACTCTGCACTGTGTGTTCCTGTGCATTCCCTCATTCCACATGCACTGTACCCCTATTCCATACTCCATACTGTGCGCTGTGTATTCCCTATTCCCTATCCCCTCATTCCATACTCTGCACTGTGCGTTCCCTATTCCCCATCCCCTCATTCCATACTCTGCACTGTGCGTTCCCTATTTCACATCCCCTCATTCCATACTCTGCACTGTGCGTTCCCTATTCACATCCCCTCATTCCCACTGCGCTTGCGTTCCCTATTCCACATCCCCTCTGCACTGTGCGTTCCCTATTCCCCATCCTCTCATTCCATACTCTGCGCTGTGCGTTCCCTATTCCCCATCCCCTCATTCCATACTCTGCTCTGTGCCTTCCCTATTCCACATCCTCTCATTCCATACTCTGCGCTGTGCGTTCCCTATTCCCCATCCCCTCATTCCATACTCTGCTGCTGTGCGTTCCCTATTCCCATCCCCTCATTCCATACACTGCTCTTTGCGTTCCCTATTCCACATCCTCTAATTCCATACTCTGCTCTGTGCGTTCCCTATTCTCCATCCCCTCATTCCATACTCTGCACTGTGCGTTCCCTATTCCCTATCCCCTCATTCCATACTCTGCACTGTGCGTTCCCTAATCCGCATCCCCTCATTCCATACTCTGCACTGTGCGTTCCTAATCCCCATCCCCTCATTCCATACTCTGCACTGTGCGTTCCCTATTTCACATCCCCTCATTCCATACTCTGCACTGTGCGTTCCCTAATCCCCATCCCCTCATTCCATACTCTGCACTGTGCGTTCCCTAATCCCCATCCCCTCATTCCATACTCTGTGCTGTGCGCTCCCTATTCCCCATCCCCTCATTCCATACTCTGCTCTGTGCGTTCCCTATTCTACATCCTCTCATTCCATACTCTGCTCTGTGCGCTCCCCCTATTCCCCATCCCCTCATTCCATACTCTGCACTGTGCGTTCCCTATTCCCCATCCTCTCATTCCATACTCTGCACTGTGCGTTCCCTATTCCCCATCCCCTCATTCCATACTCTGCACTGTGTGTTCCCTATTCCCCATCCCCTCATTCTATACACTGCACTGTGCATTCCCTATTCCACACCACCTTATTCTGTACTCTACACTATGAAATCCCTATTCCATACCATCTCATTTACCCTAAATAATAGTTTGGCCACACCCAGTGTCCGCCACCATGTTACTATTCTCCATGGGGTGCCCAAAGGCGCTTCAGTTTTTCTTGCAATCCAAGCAATGCCACTGGTGCTGAGGAAGATTGTCCTGTCCTGACCATCATAATTTAAAAAAACCTTCCTTTTTTAACCATTTCCACTCATTTCTGTACGTACACCGCAGTCACACTCTCCCTTAAGTGTTCCTCACTCTCAAGCTCTAAAGTTGGGGATTATAATACATATACACACTGATCAGCCATAACTTTATGACCCCTCACCCAATATTTAGTAGACCCCCTTTTGCCACCAAAACAGCCCCTATTCAGAGTGGCAACTAATCCAGTCGATCTTGCCATTTTCACTGAGCATGCTCCAGTTTTCTCCTGGAAGGAATCTGTGCTTGGCTCTGAGCCCAAAAATTATAGGAAAGAACACATACCCAGCATCCCCTTGGATGTGTATATTCCTCTCTGCTAGCCACTGAATATTGGCGGTACTGAAATTAGCTGTGCAATCTGTTCCAGAAGCAGATTTGGTAGAGTATCATCAAGCAACTAATCAATAGATTACACAGCTAAAGTCTGCATCAACCAGTGGGTAGCAGGAAGGAGGGATGACTGGGATGTGTTCTTTCATATAACGCTCAGCTCCAGAGCTTTGTCACATGCTGAAACAAATTCCCTCCAGTGGTGGACAGTGATGTGTGGGGGTACATGGGCTACAGCACATGGCCACAAGATAAAAGGCTAAAGAAGGTATATGAGTGAAGTTAAATGATATAATTTACGGACATTTATTCTTAGGTTCTTATTTAATTCCCAAATGCAATAAGTGGTTCTGATGTGTTTAAATGCACTATATTACATGGTTTCTCTATTTTTAGTCATCCCCTTTCAGCATCCCTCCAATCCTACCAAATCGTAAACTTGTGGCAATGGACAGAGTTGATCAGACTCTACCTGCTTCCTCGGTGGTGATGGTGAGCTCTTTGCTGGCTGCGCTCTTGCCAATGTGGTTTTTTGCATACATGCGGATGTTGTAGGTGGAAGAGGGATGCAGGTCAATGATGGTGGCTTGGTTTAGCTGAGGAGAGACATCTTTGGTTCTCTGAACTGAATCCCACGAGTCTGGTTAGAGAGAACAAATATACATTATTATAACAAAATAAATTAATATATATATATATATATATTTTTTTTTTTTTTTTTTTTTGTGCTAAAATAGAAAAATATGTTCTACTTAACTGGTCTGTGCAACAATATAGCACAGAGCAGTGCCTTTTCTCCACCAGCACTATCCAATCCTCCTTTCTTCGGGTGTCCTCTCAGCAAGCTGTGTGCTAAGGGGGCACCCATGCAGGCACATTCCCGAGCCAGGCTTTGTGTGTCCATAGACATACACAGTGCTGATAAGTCACGCCCTTACTCCCTCCTCACAGTAGTTTGATTGACAGTAACAGGAACCAATGGCTCCTGCTGCCCTTCTTTCTGTGAGATCAGGAAGAGAAAGGAGCAGTGCTGTAGCTGGGACAGCACTGGAGTGGTGATAGGAGTCAGGTATGTGTTTAGGGATGGGGGGGTGCGGGGGGCATGCAGTGGGATTTTTTTTTACCCCAATGCAGAAAATTCCCTAAGGCAAAAAACATTTAGGGTTTAGAACCACTTTAAATGTATGTTATAATAGCAAAAGAATGAGCAAGAAGTCTATAGGATTAAAGAGGAAGGAACAACTGGCAGCTCCTTCTTTAGATCTGTCAGTCACTGGACTCCCATCCTTCTAGTATAGCTGACAGCAATGATAAACTGTAATTCAAGCCTTGGAAAGAAAAGGGAGGCTGCAGGAAAACACTTTAAAGATAAATTGGTCAGACAGAGGACAGGTTATACCGTGTGAGCTAGAATATCAGCAGGTAACATGCACCCTGTTCATTCTGAGTTTTCTCCTCTTAGGGCTTGCATTAGGCAAATGCATTAATTTGCTATTTGGTAATCCAGCACAGAAAAAGGACAGTGCGTTCACATTTCCATAAAACATTTGCAACAACCAGACTATGCATGCTGTAAAATAAAAAAGGTTTTTCTCACTGCTCTGAAAAGAAGAGCTGAACAGAATATAAAATAAAAGAACTGAACTGAACAAAATAGATTAGAATGGAATAGAATAAAACAAAATAAAAGAGTGAATAAAAGAACAGGACAAAAAATAAAAGAATAGAATAGAAAGGAATAAAACAAAATAGAATAGAAAATAATATATTAGAAGAGAATAGAGTGGGTAATAAAAGAACAGAATAGAAAATAAAAGAGTAGAAGAGAATAGAATAGAAGGAAATAGAAAAAAATATACAATAAATTAGATTAGAAGAGAAAAGAATAAAACAGAATGAATATAGCCATCTAAATGTGAATTTCTAATCAATCTGTAAATAATGAATATACAAAATGAATCCAAAAATATGAAACTAATTCCAAAAAAATCATTCTAACATAACAGCAATGAAAAAACAAAATATTAACTTAACGAACATATCCGAAATAAAATAGATGTTTCCATTGTGCACATCTCTATTCAGTGTTTATGGAGTAATAGAAGAAATAATGCATGTGTGCATTGCACTGTTGGCAGAAACTGAGTGACAGGAATCTGGAGCAGCAGGTTAACACCAAATTTGCGTGCAAAATTGGCAGAAGTGCGAGTGAAACCTTAGCTCTGTTACAACATGCTAATGGTAAACATTCCATGAAGAGGTCATGGGTTCTTGAATGGTCACCAATGAGGACGTGGGCAGCCAAAACTGTAAAGGACAGATGCAAATTTGGACAGAGAATCTAGAGAAAGATCAGAACTCTAGCTTGGCAAGTGAATTCTCAACCACGACAATGCTCCTGCACATGGCGCATTAAGTGTTTGTGAGTTCCTGGTCTAGAAATCCATTTCAAAACATGCCCAACCACCTTATTACCATGACTTGGCAGCCTGCCACTTTTGTCTGGTTTCAAAATTAAAAAATGCCTTAAAAAGACACAAATCTGATGACATTTCTGACATCCAGTGTGCCTTGACAAAAATACTGCACAGCGTTCCTGGAAAACAAATTCCAGGAATGAGTTACTTCACAAGGGTACTACTTTGAAGGTGACAACAGCCACTAGTGTATAGGTAAGCAAAGATGGTGCTTCCTCACAGTATCTTCCTAACATCAGTGCAATATAATAGGGAAGCATGGAGAGCCAGCAACTCGTTTATAGCTATGACTAATGCGGGCCATAGATGGGATGAAAAACGGGCGAAAAAAAGAAAACGGACGATTTTCGGATTGTTAGTGCCGTAATCGGTCGGCTGTTTTTAGTGATTTTTGCCTTTTTCGATTAACGGTTTTGCTGGAAAATAATCTGCCAAATTTGTTGTTCTGCCGATTTTCGCAGCAATGATGGACAAATCTGCCGATCTTTTTCTGATTTAAAAAAATGCGCATGAGCAGTGACATGAAAGAAGGAAAAGAAGAAAAGAAAAAAAGTAGAATATGAATGAGAAGAAGAAATAGAATATAAAGAAGAAGGAGAAATAGAAGAAATAGAATATGAAGAAGAAGAAGAGGAGGAAGAAAAGAAGAAATAGAATATGAATAAGAAGTAGAAAAAAAAAAAGAATTTCAGTCCGATATTATATTTGACATTTAAAAGTATAGCAACATTGTATCTATTTGTATCCGAATAGAAACATCTGCATCCAAAATGGATACAAATAGATACAATGTTGCAACTTTTTCTTCTTATTATTCATATTCTGTTTCTTCTTCTTCTGCATATTCTATTTCTTCTTTTTATTCATATTCTATTTCTTCCTCTTCTGCATATTCTATTTCTTCTCTTCTTCATATTCTATTTCTTCTTTTTATTCATATTCTATTTCTTCTTCTTCTGCATATTCTATTTCTTCTTCTTCTTCATATTCTATTTCTTCTTTTTATTCATATTCTATTTCTTCTTCTTCTGCATATTCTATTTCTTCTTCTTCATATTCTATTTCTTCTTTTTATTCATATTCTATTTCTTCTTCTTCTGCATATTCTATTTCTTCTGCTTCATATTGTATTTCTTCTTTTTATTCATATTCTATTTCTTCTTCTTCTGCATATTCTATTTCTTCTTCTTCTTCATATTGTATTTCTTCTTTTTATTCATATTCTATTTTTCTTCTTCTGCATATTCTATATAATTGCCGGCCGTAGACAACTTTTTTTTACCAATGGTGGTAAGGTCGGCTGATTGAACGACCGATTTTTCGTTTTTTCTAAAAAAAAAACGGCCGGTTTTCTCCCCGTCTATGGCCTGCATAAGCCTTATTGCTGAAACGCGTAAGCTGCTGTATTTTGTACATTCTGCCTGTTACAATAAAGTAAGTTATCCAAAAGAACAAGTTGCCAGCTTTCCATTCTATGCTTTCATATTATTTTTTTACAGTCCATTCCGGGAATTAAACTCTAGGTAACGGTACCTGATCATGTGATCGCTGTGAAAACGAATCACAACGGTCACATGATAAAAACGTTGCACCACCTCTCTGACAATTTAAGCCTACTTAAAGGGCCCCTGTGAACCGGTTAACCTCAATTTGTTGCAATGAGAATCCTAAAATACATAATAGAAAATTGATAGCACGTAAAAGCTTGAGAAAACCAACTGAATAAAACAAAATCAGACAAACCACAACAAAAATCCATACAATGACCGCTTGCGTTCCTATAGCAACAAATTGAGAATTGCGTACAAGAAGAACAGAGGTTAATCAAAGAGGCTGACACTACAGGTCACTAACATATATAGAATTTCAATACTGAGTCATGCAGCTCAATACCCTGCATGCCTTCACAACAGACACAAGATACCATATATTCTATCCAAAGAGAACCAGTCACTAGTATTCAAGTCATAAGTGATTGCCTAAAAGCATTAAAACAGCAATTGTAGAAACGATTCGAACCAGAAGCATTCAATATTTTCAGACACTAGTCCAACCCACCAAGAGAAATTGCATGAACTGACTGGACAATATTGACTGGCACCATGTACATGGGAATTACTGAATGGAACAAAATTCGGATCCATTCATTATATGAATCTAAATTATTGAACAAATTTAAAAATTTAATTTCTTTCCCCAAACTACTATCATATCATGTGATGTTATCTGAATGTATTCGTTAACCAGTTGCCGACCAGCCACAGTACATTTACTGCAGCAGGGCATCACCGCTGTGCAAAATCATGTATATATATGTGATTTTGCATTTCGGGTAGGGAGCGTGTGCAAGGCGCGCGACCACCCTACCCGCGCCGCCGATCGCGGCCGTGAGTGTCAATAGCTGGGTCCCGGCCAGTGAGCCCAGCGAGCTGTAACACAATTTTGTTATAACTTTTTTTTCTGGTTTGTTGATAGATTCAGATGTATATGAAAATGAAATTTTCATGCAAACTATCACTATATTGGTGTCCACTGTCCAGTTCCCCCCAGTGACAGAATAGGTCCACCGCAGTCCCGCCAAAAACTAATCGTAACAAAACAAAACATACATGTCTATATATATTTTTATCTATTTGTATATAGTGTGTATGTGTGTGTATATATATATATATATATATATATATATACACACACACATACACAGTGGGGAAAATAATTATGTGATCCCCTGCAGATTTTGTAAGTTTGCCTGCTTACAAAAAAATTAAGGGTCTATAATTTTTAAAATCCTGCAGCGCCTGCAAGGTCCATCTCCTCAAGAAAGCACATGTACAGGCTCCTCTGAAGTTTGCCAGTGAACATCTAAATGATTCAGAGAAGGATTGGGAGAAAGTACTGTGCTCAAATGAGACAAAATTGAGCTCTTTGGCATTAACTCGACTCACCGTGTTTGGAGGAAGAAAAATGCTGACTATGACCCTAAGAACACCATCCCTATAGTCAAGCATGGAGGTGGAAACATTATGCTTTGAGGCTGTTTCTCTGCTAAAGGTACAGGCTGACTTTGTGGGGCCAGTGGACAGGGCCATGTATTGTAAAATCTTGGATGAGAACCTTCTTTCCTCAACCAGAACACTGTCATGCTGGAAGACCCATCCATGACCCATCTTCACAGACCCAAAACATACCGCCATAATGCAACAAAGGTATGGCTCAAGAAGAAGCACTTTAAGGTCATGGAGTGGCCTAGCCAGCCTCCAGACCTTAATCCTATAGAATATTTATGGAGGGAGCTGAAACTTTGAGTTGCCAAGCAACAGCCAAGAAACCTTAAGGATTTAGAGAAGACCTGTAAAGTAGAGTAGACCAAAGTTGCTCCTGAGATGTGTGTAAACCTGGTAACCAGCTACAAGAAACGTCTTACCTCTGTGCTTGTCAACAAGGGTTACTCCACCAAGTACTAAGTCATGTTTTGCTTGGGGATCAAATAATTATTTTACTCACTGAACTTCAACTCAATTTATACCATTTGTATTATGTGTTTTTTCTGGACTTTTTCTTGATATTCTGGCTCTATCATTTAAAAAACACCTATGACCAAAATTATAGACCCTTCATTTCTTTGTAAGTGGGCAAACTTACAAACTCTGCAGGGGATCAAATAATTATATTCCCCACTATATATATATATATATATATATATATATATATATATATATATATATATATATTCTTCATCATTTAGTATCCTGGACCAAATTACACAAGAAGATTTCCTACAATACTGGTCAGTGGGAGCTCTTCAGTGTTTAGTACAGCCCTTTGGTATATGATGTGTGGCCCTTGGACCACACCAGTCCGTAGTGGGAACATTGATTAGGATAATAGCATTGATCTCTACTAGCTTTATGTAACATGTTCCCAGTTTTGTACTGTCTTCTGCAACCACCCCCAGCCAAAAGTTAGCATGTCCACACTCTCTGACTCTCATTTTCTCTATTAGATCTGCAGTTTCTGGTAGTCCTCTGAAGCATTACATATATTGGACATTATGTGTGGCCCTTTGGTGATGTTAGGGGTCACATTTGAGGCCCCCTTTAGCTCATAAGTTGACAACCACTGCTTTGGATGCTTGAATTTACAGAACAACAATTTATATTGGGATTTCCAGTGTTAATCTCTTGTTTATATTCGGGCAGATCAGTTCTGGCTCACTACCGAAAAATTAACCTTTGCTTTTATGGTTTTATGACTATACCTGATTTGTTCTTGCATTCAATATCGTAGCCTGTGATTGGGCTGTTGCCATCAAAATCCATTGTCCAGACCAGGCTGATAGTCCGAGCTGACACTTCCCGGATTTGGACTTTTGGAGGTACTGGAGGTTCTGATAAACAGAAAGAGAATTGACAATGCAAACATATTAGATGAACTGCAGGCATGCATGGCCTCTTGGAGACCAGACACATGCCAAAGAAAAGCTAGGTGCTATGTGCATATAAAAGGACACCAAAGCATAATTTAGAACATTTTCAGGTAAACAAATAGAAAAAACACATTTCCTGTATGTGGCATCCCTTGCTTCTTAACCACTTCAACACCGTTGTACGTACATATATACATCCTGGTATTGAAGCAGTTATACCAGGATCATGGTTGGGGCTACAACCATGATCCCAGTATCATATTTTGCAGCCACTAGATTACTTTTACAGGAGGCGGGGGGGGGGGGGGGGGGGACATTGCCTTTAATGGGCTCTCCCATCCAAGCCTGATAAAGATGCGACTGGTGGCAATAGCTCCCCTGGACACAGTGGGAGGAACTAATGTTGTTCCTCTCACTGTGTGAGATCAGAAACCAGAAGCGACAAGCATTTTGTGGCATCCTGTTTCTGTTTGTTTACAAGCAGTTACTGGTTTCTGAAACAGCAGATGAAACTGATCTTGGTTTGATCTTCTGCTTTGGTGTTTGGAGGCCAGACGAGAGAACTGGGGCCTCTCTGCACAAATACTGCCTGACATAAAAAATTACAACACCAATCATTTTTCCCTACAGCCTCTGCAAAAATATATATGAAGTTTGTGGGTTTCAAGTAAATTTCTAGCAAAATAAGTTGATTTTTACATGTAGGAGAGAAATGTCAGCATTGGTCTGGTAGGCAAGGGCTTGAAGCGGAGTTCCAGCCCCAACCCAACCTCACCAAAAAAAAATTAAATCTCAGCAGCTACAAATACTGTATCTGCTGACTTTTAATATTAGGGGAAATAACCTGTACAGGGATCCAGCGGTGTCCTCACCCCGGGACGATTCTTCAATCGGCTGTTGGGTGCTGGCACCACCATCTTTACTAAGCGAAACCGGCAGTGAAGCCTTGTGGCTTCACCATCAGATTCCTACTGTGCATGAGCGAAGCGCCCTGTGCTTTCTGAATGGGCTGCAGTCCTTTGTGACCTTGGATGTGTCCCAGAGGGCTGTGTGGGGGCCCAACTTCCAGCTCAGTTAGTCACAGCAAACTGTGCTGGAAGTGGGAGCGGGTACCTGTCAAAACCAGGTACTCGCTCCACCCAAAAGGTGCCAAATGTGGCAGCAGGGGGGGGCAGAAAAGCGGAACTTCCAGTTTTGGGTGGGACTCTGCTTTGGGTAAGTCACATACCTGTGAAATAATAAAGCACAGAGACTCTCCTCATCTCCTCATAATTAACAGGTAAATTGGGAAGGCACAGACATAGCACTCTTCCAAATGACTTCCAATGATCTTAATGAAAACCTGTGCTTAACCCATATATATAATCAAGAATAGTGAGCAGTGTTAAATAAAGTAATTATGACATAATTGCAATTATAACACGTCTCCAGGCCGTAATTAAAGCACTCCAATGAGTGTTGTAGAGTTGTAGATATATACATTTTTTGTAGGGGTTCCTTGAGACCAAAAAGGTGTTTCAAGAGTTCCTCTGTGTTGAAAAAGTTGCGAAAGGCTGCTCTACATTTTAATGGGTCAGTAAGAGCTTGTTTGACCTTAGAACTCCGCCCCATGGCACCACTGCCAGGACCAAAGCTCGCCACAACAACCTCTGTTACGTTTCATAAGGTCAGATAAGGGGATAGAATAACCACCCTGAAGACACCTTTCTGAGGATGAAATACATAGAGAGGGGTTTGGAGGACATCATTTCTGGTGATGCCATTTCCCATCAGTAGAGCGCATGCTATTTCAGAAGAGTGGCGGTTCGCGGCCTGTCACATTACTGGACATACTCAGTTCTGGTCCCTGGCACAACGCTATGGGAGTGCACATTTTCATTGTTTTTAGTAATCTTTGGGCAAAAATTTTTTTTAATAAACTGGTTGCACTATGAATTTGTTATTGCGGTTCTTCTACCTATGTTTAGGAAATCAGCAAAATTCTTAAAATAGATCTCAATGGCAAGAAAATATATATATTTAGATATCTAAACATCTCTACCATTAGACTCATTTGGACCAGAGTTCTCCTTAGGAGGTATATACACTTTATAGGTTATAGCACTTGAACTCATCAATGAAGTGACAGGAAAGCTACTATCCTAGCTAGGACTGGCCCCTCCGCTTTCAGTTCCCCCCATCGTTAGCATGTATAATGTACCTTGCACTGTGAGCTGAATGATTCCTCGATCTTCTCCAAAAGAATTGATGGCATGACAGGAGAAGAAGCCGGAATCCTCACGGACAGTTGGATTAATCTGTAGTGAACAGTGAGAAGGACAGTTCTGTTATTATAATGGAAATCCACAGATAATTTAAAGCTCCATTGGAACACCAGCAAGTGTGCAAAACACACAGCTAAAACATTTACGTATGAACTATTTAAAATATAACTAAAGGGAATTTTTTTTTTTCGTTTTGGATAGAGTGGAGAGGGATTAAAACACCTGTCAGGTTTTTATTGCTGTCTTTGTCCCTGTTAGGTTGATTCATCCACCCTATTTGTCCTATTTAACATTATCACTGAAAGTGAAAACAAAAAAAAATCCAAATCTTTGGATTGTCCCCAGAAAAGTAATCTACCAGTGGCCACACTGGTTCTGGTGACCTGGGGGTCTCAAAGGAAGTCCCTTAATGTGCAGGGATTTCTGCTCACTTCCTGTTTGACTCTGGGACAGGTAGTGAAAGGAAATCTCTGCAGAGGGCAAAAAATAAATCTGACGGGTTATAATCCTCCCTTACCCTATCCAAAATGAAAACAAAGTTTTGCGTATAGATCTACTTTAATCTGAGAAAAGGTTAGTAGGGTAAACCACATACTTCTGTGATCCCCCACCCCCAATACCACATCTCGCAGGGTATTGTAAAAAGTCTATTCACAGAGCTCAATAGCTCAAGATGACATTTACAGAGAGAGCTGCATGAATCATATAAGTGGTTATATAAGGCTCAGGCCAGAGTACTTGGTGTCATTCTGGACTCCAACCTATCCTTCCAGCCCCAAGTCCAATCTTTAACAAGCTCATGCAGACTCCACCTCCGCAACATCGCCAAAATCCGCACGTTCCTAACCCCAGAAACCACTAAACAGCTCATCCACTCCCTCATCATATCACGACTCGACTACTGCAACTCCCTCCTCACTGGCCTGCCTCGCCACAGGCTCTCCCTGCTTCAGTTGATCCTGAATACGGCTGCCAGACTAATTCACCTTTCCAACTGCTCCATCTCTGCCACCCCCCTCTGCCAATCCCTCCACTGGCTTCCGATTGCGCAACGGATCAAATTCAAAATCCTAACACTGACGTACAAACCTGTCCACCATACTGCCCCGAACTACATCACCGACCTAATATCCAAGTACCGCCCAACACGCACACTCCGCTCCTCACAAGACCTCCTTCTCTCTAGTTCCCTGGTCTCTTCCTCCCATGTCCACCTCCAGGACTTCTCCAGGATGTCACCCATCCTCTGGAACTCCCTGCCCCAACCCATCAGATTATCACCTACTCTCCTCTCCTTTAGGCGCACCCTGAAAACCCATCTCTTCCGGGAAGCCTACCCCACCCCCTGCTAACTTGCCAACCTCCTCCACTCTTCCTACCACTCCATCCCCCACAGCTATCTCCTCCTGTGCCACCATCCCCTCCCTCCTAGATTGTAAGCTCCAAAGAGCAGGGCCCTCAATCCCCTCATGTTTTGCATTGTATTGGTATTGTTCTGTCACATGTTCTGTCCCCCTTTGTAATGTACAGCGCTGAGCAAACTATTGGCGCTTTATAAATACTGTATAATAAGATGACATTTACAGAGAGAGCTGCATGAATCATATAAGTGGTTAATGCCTTACTGGAAGGCTCAGTCCAAAGTTTCAATCAGATGGGACTAGCCAGAAGGGGGTTCATTTTTCTGTGATTTCTCCTTAGCTAACTTGGTTTCCTTGGAATACTTTGCCCTTTATTTATTGTTTATTTGTACTATTGAAAGTGTACCCCTTACATAATGGAAAAGCTTTTGCCCAGTGAGAATGTCTTTTCAAATATATGAAATTAAAAACACAATTGAAGCTTCATATATTATTATTGTAATGCACTAAGGCTAAATAAACAGTAACAGTAAGCTTCTTTTTACATTTGTAATACTGTTTGCTGCAAGAAGGGTTAAAATCGCCTATGCTAGAATCATGCTAGAGAGTTGGACTGCTTCTGACCCGGGTCTCAAGTTATCTGCCATGGCACCTACCTAGTGCTACAGTCAAGAGCACTAAGTATGCTGTTACACAGTTAATATTTTTGTTAATGTACATGAGAATTGATATAGTTTATTCTTTGTACCATTTCCTATGGACATTTCTATAATTAGTAATGCTGCCATCCAGTGGTCTTATTTGGTAATGCATTTGTTTTTCATGTTGCCTCCCTGAGATCTATGACACAATTTCTTTGTATATGAAGCTCCTCCCTTCTTCTTGAGTTCAGCACTTCCTGTGTCACGGAGGCAGCTAACAGACCACATGTAACAGGGACACATGTATTCTACATAGTACGCTACAGAAAGTATCATCTTTTGACCGCATAATACTGGAAACCATTCATTCTGCTGTATCCTGTTGTCACATGTACAGAATAAAGCAACTTCTGGAAGAACACAGTATTGGTGAGTTCAAGCTATCTGATAAGGATTGTCCACAGTGATTATATCTGCTTATACAGGCTAGGCAGAGAGGTCTCACAAGGGATAAATTGCTATCACAACAATCTGAGTCAGAATACTAAGGCTAGGTTCACACCTATGCAGTTTGCGTTTGATCTGTTTCTGTAGTGTGTTTTGTGGTGCGTTTTTTGTACATGCATTTTTTAAGGGTTTATGATGCGTTTTGATTTTTTTTTTTAACTTGTTACTGAGCAGAATAAATCGCAAAACGCATAAAAACTACACTACCTGCTTTTCTGCAGCATCTCAATTGAAGTCTATAGAACCAAAAATAGAACATTTTGTGTTTCAAAAAGTCCCTGAGCCTGGATTGACAGTGAAGCGGTTCAACACATTGCATGTGATTTGCACAGGAACAGCACCGCATTCCTGCACAAATTACATGTGTAATTTCAGCCATACATTTTGTATGGCTCAAATCGTACCGCATTTGCACCAAAAAAGTGCAGGACCCATGCGATTCTGCACACTGCACCGCGTTTTGCGAACTGATTTCGGGGTGTCGAATTCCGCACCGCATGAGTGTGAACGTAGGCTGAGCCTTTCCAAAAAATGCACTGGGTGAAAACGCAGAGATGTGAACTTGTCCCGTAGGAAATCATTTTAAATGGACTACTGTGCTTTTCCGCAAAACACAGCGGAAACGCATAGGTGTGAACCTAGACTAACACTTCCTGAGTGCCATGCCCTGTGCTGGCCAGGGGTCTGACTCTCTAGCGTGCAGCTAGCAAAAGGTAATTTAATTCTTTCTGAAGCAAATAATACTGTTAAAAATGAAAAATAAATAAAAAGAAGCCCACAATGCAATCTGACTAGAAGACAGGAATAAAGGACAATTCAATGAAATGGCAAGAAAAGAAAAGAAAAAAGACCATATTTACAATTGCAGGTTACTAAGGAAGTCATTGTAAGTTGTCAGAAGGGATGCAACAGAAGCAAGAGGTGAGGAGGTATATAGTTTGGGTGGGGTGGGGTTGGAGTGGAGTGGCTAGCAAGAGATGTGCTGTGAGTAGAGGGAGAGTGTCTATGTATGGATGTGCTGCTGCCTGTATGGATGTGCTGCAGGGAGGGATGCACTATGAATGGAGGTGAGCTGGCCAGGAAAGGAGGCAATGTGAAATGCGTAGGGATGGCAAGGGTAATGCAGTGTGAGCGGGTGGGGGAATGTAAGAGAATGCTGGCCAGAAAAGGATGTGATGTGAGGACAGGGAGAAGAGGAGGTGGCTGAAGATAGATGTAGGCAAGAGGTGAGTGAGCTGGTTGGGGAGGGATGCCCTGCAAGCAAGGGGTGAGGTGGTTTGAGAGGGATCACTGTGAATGGGGGCAGGGACACAGGTATGGACCATAAGCAAGATGCAAAATAGCCGGGGAGGGATGCGATATGATGGCCAGTGAGGAATGTAGTGTGCTCAGGGGGTTGATGTGGTGTGAATGGGGATTGTGGTGGGTGGAGAGAGATGGGTGTGAGCAGGGACCACCTGAGATGGTCCAAGGAAGGTTGGCCTGGGGAAGTATGGAGTGTGAGCAGGAGGTGAGATGGTCCATGGAAGGTTGTGGTGTAAGGTGGCCTGGGAAAGTATGGAGTAGGAGGTGGAAAGAGGTGGCCTAGGAAGGAATAATGTGAGCAGAGGGTGGATGTAGTACAACTGGAGACTGAGGAGGGTGGGGAGAGGTTTGTGACCAGAGGAGTGAGGTGATCCAGGGAAGGATGCAGTTTAAGGTGGCATGAAGAAGGATGGAGTGTGAACAAGGTGGCCCAGGCAGGGATGGACAGTGAGTAGGAGGTGGACATAATATTATTGCCGAAATGTGTTATCTCCAAACTTCACTGTACCTGAAGCACGGAGAGGACCTCATCTCCCACCTCCTTTGTGGACACCGAATATCGAGACATTTCTGGTACATTTATCATGCGATCTTCTTTTTCCCAACGCACGATAATGGGCTTTTCACCATGTGCTGTGCAATTCATTTCTTTCTTCTGACCTTGAGTAGCCAGTGTTGTATTGGGGTAGGACATTATCCTTGCAGGAACTGCAAAAAAAAAAAAGGAGTCAATTAAAATGATACTTCTCACGTTTTGGTGAATACATAATATAAAGTTCCTGCTCAGTAAATTTGAACTGACTTTTACATTTTTCAATGCCTTCCAATTTTTTGGTATTAAATGCAGAGATTTATATTTATAAAGGATTAAAGAGGAATTCCAGGTATGGATATTTTTGCATAGTTACATCCAGCATGGACTAAAGTAGGAAACAGCAGAGGGCACAAAATAAGTGCATAAACTATATAGGAAAAGACTTTATTAAAAATAAAAAGATGGAAATTCACAAGATACATATGGATAAGAGCATGTAATTGACCCAGTGTGGTTTAATGTTGACCCTCAGTGTGTTTTCAGGAGCCAGGAAGCAGATACCACTGTCAGGGGCTATGTAGAATGCCAGAAACGAAACCGGAAGTCCCAGAGCCACCATGGAGTACATGGACTGTGCAGGACCAGAAATTACATCACACCTAGAAGGGCAGCAATGTGGAATGCAACCCGCAAGCGGGTTCATTCGAGTACATGGCAGAACCTAACCAAAAAGAGTCCTGCAGGGGATCAAGTCTAGTAATTGCACCCCTCCGCCTCACCTATCATCCTCCCTGTGCACCATACGTTTCCTCCTGCTGCCCAGTGTGCTCCCACCCTCTCAGTGCTGCCAGCTTCCCTTCGCTCCTTGCCGCTGGTAGCTGCCAGCACACAATAGGATCTTTTAAGTTGGAGAGTGGGGGAAGGGTCCAGTAAATATGTCACAGTTACCAGCCCCTTTCTTTCCTGAATTAACACAATGAATGATTGGTACTGATCATTCATTGTGTTCATTCATAACTGAAGCATAGTAAACTATGCTTTTTTTTTTTTTTTAGCGGGGGGCCCTGTCAGGTTGGCTGTATGGGGCCTTGTGGTTTCTAACAGCAGCCCTGGATAGAGCTGTCACATGCATGACATCTTCCCAGCACAGAAATGCCTCACAGTGAGTACTGAGCTGGTCTTATTTACTACTAGTTTTTAGTCTGCAAACCGGTGGTAATTCTTTCAGAACCTTTCACTGCCATCGGACAGGATCTTAAAGTTGCAGTAGTTAGTTACCTGAATTTGTAACCAGTGTCAGCAATGTTACAGAAACTGGCAGTAATGTTTGCCTGAATTCGGCACAGGTAGTTCTAAAGGAAAATTACCACCAGAAAGTGTTGTAAAATGATTTACTGAACTCCCTCCACTATGTTGAAAAATAAGAAATGAAGATAAAATAATCCATCTTTGGCTCCCTTCAGATGCAGGTGTTTAGGAGGCTATACAGTCACCTCCAAATACCTGTCTTTTTTTTTGTTTAATTTTTTAACACTGCTGAAACAGCGATTTTGCAGGACGGAACCAAGTGTTTGGCTTGCAGTTGCAGAATGGTACCTTCACTAGATGTGCACTTTGAAAATTTTCTTTTGGTTTCGGATGCATTCAGTCATTGTAGAATTTAGTTTTATAATATTTGTTATTTGAACCGATTCATTTTCGGCATTCGTTTCATATATTCTTTGGTCTGGGTAGATTTGAAAAATTTTGTAGTTTTTTTCCGGAAGATTGCTATATATTATCGTATCGGACAGATTCTATATTTTCAGACACTAATCCAACCCACCAGGAGAAATGCCATGAGCTGAATGGAAAATATCAACTGGCATCATGTGCATCCAAATTAACAAATGGAATGCAATTTAGATCCATTCATTATCTGAATCTGAATTATCAAACACATTCGAAAATTGTATTAATTTCCCTGTGGGTCCGAACTACTATCGCATCATATGACGTCATCCAAATGAAATAAATGCATTTGGTAAATTAGTTATAATTTTTTTCAAATTTGTTTCCATTCGGAGATTTGTATACATCAGAATTACTATAAATTAAATCTTCATTCAAAAAAGAAATCATAGCAAACTAAAGCGCACGTCTACCTTTCACTTACATGGCAGAGTTTGCAGACAGTGCCACCTCTCAAACTCTGCATGTCGCATTAAAATTGCCACACCACAATGACTTCATCCAAGTGGCACCATTTCTGCCTGTGAGTGGGTGGTTGAGGGGTAATAAAAACACAGATGAACTGAATGTTTTACCATCCATCACCCTGGCCTCCTGTGTAAAAGGAATCTTTGGGAATTGAGCCTTTTGCAGATAGTGTAGAATCATATATTGACTAGGAAGCAATATGCAGGACAGAATTGTACGTGATAGGACAGTGGAGTCTTCTTGAATCAGAGAATCGTTTTCCTGCCTCTTCAGCTCCACAGAACTCATCTATTTTAAAGCAAATTAATTAGAACAGCTTCATGGAAATGTTAATGGTTGCTAGCATGACCTTTTCACTTGTCACAAATGGAGATCCTGGGATGTGACAAAATGTCAACAAGCACGACTAAAGAATGCAAAAATAATGAAATCTTTACTTCTGAGAAGATAATGTGTCACTCAGACACACAACAGGAAGACTATGTTATATTGGTCATATGCAAGAGAATCCCCATTCTTGCAACTGATAATGATGCTGTATATACACTGCTCAAAAAAAAATTAAAGGAACACTTTGAAAACACATCAGATCTCAACGGGGAAAAATATCATGCTGGATATCTATACTGATATGGACGGGGTAATGTGTAAGGAACGTAAGGATGCTCCATCGTTTGATGGAAACGAAAATGATCAACCTACAGAGGACTGAATTCAAAGACACCCCGAAAATCAAAGTGAAAAAATGATGCAGCAGGCTAGTCGATTTTTCAGAAATTTCATTGCAGCAACTCAAAATGGTACTCAGAAGTTTGTATGGCCCCCACATGCTTGTATGCATACCTGACAATGTCGGGGCATGCTCCTAATGAGATGACAGATGGTGTCCTGGGGTACTTTCTCCGAGATCTGGACCAAGGCATCACTGAGCTCCTGGACAATCAAAGTGAATAAATGATGCAGCAGGCTAGTCCATTTTGCTGAAATTTTATTGCAGCAACTCAAAATGGTACTCAGTAGTTTCTATGGCCCCCGAGTGCTTGTATGGGGATGGTGACCTGGGGTATTTCCTCCCAGATCTGGATCAGGGCATCACTGAGCTCCTGGACAGACTGAGGTGCAACCTGGTGGTGTTGGATGGACCGAAACATGATATCTCAGAGGTGTTCTATTGGATTTAGATCAGGTGAGCGTTGGGGCATTCAATGGTATCAATTCCTTCATCCTCCAGGAACTGCCTGTATACTCTCACCACATGAGGCCGGGCATTGTTGTGCACCAGGAGGAACCCAGGACCCACTGCACCAGTGTAGGGTCCGAGGATGGGTCCAAGGATTTCATCCCGATACCAAATGGCAGTCAGGGTGCCATTGTCTAGCCTGTAGAGGTCTGTGCGTCCCTCCATGGATATGCCTCCCCAGACCATCACTGACCCACCACCAAAACGGTCATGCTGAACGATGTTACAGGCAGCATAACCTTCTCCACGGCTTCTCCAGACCATTTAATTCTGTCACATGTGCTCAGGGTGAACCTGCTCTCATCTGTGAAAACACATGGAGCAAGTGGCAGACCTGCCAATTCTGGTGTTCAATGGCAAATGAAAATCAAGCTCTATGGTGCCAGGCAGTGAGCACAGGGCCCACTAGAGGACATCGGGGCCCTTAGGCCACCCTCATGAAGTCTGTTTCTGATTGTTTGGTCAGAGACATTCACACCAGTGGCCTGCTGGAGGTCATTTTGTAGCGCTCTGGCAGTGCTCATCCTGGTCCTCCTTGCACAAAGGAGCAGATACCAGTCCTGCTGATGGGTTAAGGACCTTCTACAGCCCTGCCCAGCTTTCCTAGAATAACTGCTTTGTCACCTGGAATCTCCTCCATGCTCTTGAGACTGCTGGGAGACACAGCAAACCTTCTGGCAATGACACGCATTGATGTGCCATCCTGGAGGAGTTGGACTGCATGTGCAACCACTGTAGGGTCCAGGTATAGCCTCATGCTACAAGTAGTGACACTGACCCGAGCTAAATGCAAAACTAGTGAAAAACAGTCAGAAAAGATGAGTAGGGAAAAAAATGTTAGTGGCCTCCACCTGTAAAACCATTCCTGTTTTGAGGGGTCATCTCATTGTTGCCCATCTAGTGCACCTGTTGTTAATTTAATTAACACCAAAGCAGCAGAAACTGATTAACAACCCCCTCTGCTACTTCTGACCTTCTCTGGCCCTGACCAGATCAATATCCCAGGAGTACTCTGATTAAACAGTGTTCCTTTTTAATTTTTGTTGAGCAGTGTATAATGAGTTGACTGTGTCTAAGCAGTATCCTGAAAAATGTACCTTTTTGTCTGGAATTTTTTCTAGCACTGCATTCACACCTTCGTGTTTCGCTTACGCTTTCAAAAACACGGTGCAAACGCACGTCATGTTTGTGGTGCCAATAATTATTGTTAATGGCACCCCAAACTTGACTAACAGACATACGTTTTTTTTTCACATGAGAAATGTACAAAAAACACACCAAAATGTGCATGGTGAAACTTGACACCTGAAATTAGGTCAGGAGCTTGGGAAGTGTGAATCTGGCCTAATTAAATGTGAGTGTGTCAATGCGCACAATCTCAAATCTGTATATCTAGCAGTCAGGGGCAGCAGTGACTTGGATGATCTCACACTGCAGTCTCGTGAGATCTGGTGATGTCACTACTATCCTGCATGTTGTCCTCTTTGCTGGAGGCTCTTATATGATGAAGTAAATACCTCCCCAAAGTCTTAATGGGGAAAGATTGGCTGCAGGGAGACCACAGGCAATAAGGCAGGCCATAGATGATGCGATTTTCTTTCCTGCAGCCGATTTCCCCATCAACACTGAATCCTTCCTGCATAGCCGCTGT